ACTATACTATAGTATATACTAATATTAATATATATATATATATGTGTGTGTGTGTGTGTGTGTGTGTGTATTATTATTATATATATATATATATATATATATATATATAGTGTGTGTGTGTGTGTGTGTGTGTGTGTGTGTGTGTGTGTGTGTGCATGTGTGCATATATATATATATGTGCGGAACGAATCTCTACTGCACACATATCTTCATTGAACACATATCTCTACAATACACGTGAGATAGGCATAAAAACACGAGCATAGCTGGAAATTGAATCAAATTGTAATTTTATTTAGGAATAGATCTGAGCCCTCATCTAGGACGAAATTGTTCCCGGCTTTAATTTGTAAGTTTTTCATTTATCCACTGTCCAGTACCTAACCAAGGTCGGAAATCTTCTAGACACCATCATCGAGCAATTGCCCGAGAGACACTGCGCGGACCACACTGGGTCAGCCGACGGAAGTGCCACGGACACTACGAACGACTCTGAAAATACCACAGAAGGCACAGTGAGTGCAGAAGGTAATGCAATACCAAGAAGTGAATCTGTGTCTGAGGTGAACGGAGACTATCTGGAGGAGAAGGCCCGTTTGCGCCAGAATCGTGACTTGCAGATGAAGGTGTTGGAAGGCTTGGCAGAGCAGTTGAACGAGGGCAAGCAGAAGACAGCCGACCACATCGGTAGGTGTACCTGATGGCCTCCGAATAGTTGTGTACTGGTGTATGAAAGCAGATATGAGTGTATCGTATATATATATATATACAAGTGTATGAAACATACAAGGACAATCAGACGTGAGGGTATCGCATATATATATACAAGTGTATGGAACATACAAGGACAATCAGACATGAGGGTATCGCATATACATACAAAGCTAAGTAGATACTAGAACACTTACATACATTTTTACAATGTCACTTTCTGTCAATTTGTACAAAATTGAGGTAATACTTTCGAAAACCCATACATTGTATCGATATCGTAGTATCAAAACCCATACATTGTATCGATATCGTAGTATCGAAACCCCATAAGGTATACTCGCATATTAGGTGTAGATATCAAACGAGCTGCACAGCCTCACCCATACAAATCCATACGCTGGTTCCCAGTTGACTCATAAACCTATAATGCAAAAAAAAATGTACAGAAAACGAGAGAGTCCGCCTTGAGGAACTGCAGCGTGCGGTTGCTGACTACCTTCAGGAGGGACAAGCCGATGCAATGGATGGCATCGCAAATATGAAGCGATTCCTAGGACTGATGATTGAGAAGGCGAAGAAACAGGCAATGCAGATTGGTACCCTCGAGTTCACCATCGAGAAGAAGAATCAGCTGAATGTATGTACCGTAGTCTTTTAATAGTCGCTTCATGCATAGAGGTATCCACATTTATATCATTGAGAAATCAAGTGAAATAGCACGTCATGCCTCATGTGTGATGTGCAATGTGCTGCTAATGTAGCTATAGTAATAATCGTACTGTGAATTTCGAGTGTATATTCGTTGATGTGGACAAAAGCGCAGGAACGTGAATGTTAGAGAGCGGAGTTTGGAGGCGCAAAATTGGCCAATACTCTTTGACAGTAAACTATAACTCGATTGAGTATTACATAGGTCTTAACTCGATTGATTGTAGCTACTTGTGTGTTGTTCGCAAAGCATTCTCATTGAATTGCTTCTCCACACCTATGCTCTGATATCGGATCCGGGAGGTCGAAACTACTGACCGAGTAGATTACTTCCTGATAGCTCACACCGAGAGCGAATTGCGTACGAACTTGTCTGACTAATCCGGCTCATTTTCCAACTGTGCTCTTGAAAATAGGACGTAATGGCTGAGAAGGTAAAGCAGATTGCGGAGGAGCAGATGAAGAAGGGCAATATTCTTAAGAACATGAAGCGCAATCGCCGCACGTCAAAGCGGAACACCGCCGCCACCGGAAGCGAGTAAAGAGAATTAGTGGCAGGACTTCTAATGAACATATAAGATGCGTCCTTATCAACGCAACGCAAGACAAGTGTATAGTATACAGGTAATCGCATCGATCAAATGATAGTCTGCCGAAACCGAACAGCAGCTTGATTCGAAATAAAATTGCTCGTCTTGACAACAACTAATCTTACACAGTGATTTCAATTTAATTATATGATAGGAATGGGGTTGGGTTTAATACTGGTTCCAGAGGTATGCGCCAGTAGTAGTACTTTATTTTGTGGACAGCGGTCATAGAAGGCAGAGAATACTTCAATGCGCTTATGTGATGCTAATGATACGACTCACATATCGCAAACTACAGCCAATCATCAATATTCGTCTCAAGTTGTGTTGTTTTTTTAATACTTGAGCCTTGTAATAAGTCAGTTCTCGCCGAACAAATCACAACAAGGATAAGAGTGCATGAAATCCTGAAAGGTTTGAACTTTAGATCTACTTTCACTTCACGATGTATCGCTGAAAACAGAATTTCAAGATACTGGAGAGCATATATAGGCTCACAGGTAAATGTCCATCGTCATCTACAGTTTGGGCTGTAAGCATGAAGAGCTATAGTGTAATGCGTACACCAACAATTTCCGTCAACTTAGCTACTGGCATGAAGAAACACTTTGCTAGAGACAATGCTGATCCACAATTATGGAAATTATGGAGATATCCATGTAGAGTAATGAAGCGGCCATAGAGCGAAGCGTATTGGTAGAATCTACGCGATCGAGCCAGTACGGGGCTTTCTATCTTGTTCCATTGTTTACTGTTTGAAGAGACACGTACGACACGAGGGCACTCACTTTGTGATATCTAACGCATACGAACCTAAGCTATAATTCACCCCTTCGTATTTTATAGTTTTACATATATATATACCCCTCATATTTTTTTGTACATATTCTAATTTCTCCTTAGGGACTTGCCGTAAACTATTTGGCGCCAAACCTCTACGCCCTATGATTGGACATTTAACTTTTAGTGCTATTTATAATTTTATTTGATTGAATATCCAAGTCAGGAGTGACAGATCGACCAGATGGCTTCATCATTTCCAAATCGAAATGGTGTCGGATTCGGGATTATGTACTGATTTTAGTGATTACGGGGATACCAATAGGCTAAAGTATATGCTTTCGCTTGTCAACTTTGAAGTTTTAAAATAGTACTATAATGCTATGTATCCTGCCCAGCTTTCTATTCAATCTTTTATATTATAAGCTCTTGTGTTCATAATTATAGGCATCATATAGCCGTATTGTGTATCAATCAACACCATCAAGTGCAAAGAAGATGAGTTCCAAAAGCATCTCAGCGGCCGATGCAATTTCCAAAGCAGAAAAGACCATCCTCGAGGCCGAAGATGTAAAGGCCACTCCGCTTTTCCCTGAGAACCTTCCAACAGAGGCCGAGATTGATATCATGTACGCGGAAATAGACGACTACAAGGAACAGCTACGCAAATGTCGTTTGTGCCGTGAAAAGTACATGCTAAAGATACAATGGCTCGAGAGTGATATAGAATCCTTGACGAAGAGGAAAAAAGATCTCATGGAGGGAATCTTGGAGCGCAGAGATGACTTCGAAGAGCTCTCTGCACAATGTGTACTGAAGGTCGAAGTGTTGGACTCTGACATTCAGCATTTAATGCACAACATCATAGTTATCGAAGAAGATATAGCAGTAAGTGTTCTTAAATATCCCCCGCACTACTTTCATTTGGCTCATTTTGTTACAGCGAAAATTGTGATGTAATTTCCCGATTCTGTCATCAGTTATGCCTACTATATAAGACAGTGTGCACATAAGAACTTGCTCCGCCACTTACCATAATGTTGAACCGACATACATCACAGGGAAAGCTGGAGGTATTGTCCTCGATGACTGACGATCAGGATACTATGGAGGGTGAGAAAACTCTCGTCATTTCAGCGAACAATACAGACATATCCGAACTAGAAGGGAAGATAGCTGCTATGCGAGAGGGAAATGTACATATGCGAGATTTTCTCCAGGGTAGAAACAGCGGAAACAGTGATCTGCAACGCAGTCTCGAAATAAGCACAAATGAAAACGTGGAGAAGTCGCGTGTTATAATCGAGGTAATGTGTAAGATCTGTGCCTGTTGATGCTTTAGTGAACTGACATGTACTTATGGACTATAGCTAGTTCTTTTGCAATGTATCTACCACGCGCAATGCTCAAACAAAGTATTATTGGTTCACGAGTGTTCTACAATCAGCTATAGATAAAACATCACTCTTCACCAGTAATCAGTTCAATTTTATTTTGATGATGCTGGGTCTTCCGCCTACAGTATTTAGATAACGTAGAGAGTCTCCTGGAAGCGATGATTTCTGGCTTACCGAAATCTTCTCAAGGCCAGTGCCTGGCCACTGACGAAGCTATTGCACTTGAAGACTCAGACCCCACCTATGCTGAATCGGGAGTGTATCCGAGCTCAGGTGACGATGCGGATGCATCTGTGTCCACCCATGCTCTTATATATGTACTCGATTGTTTAGTGGAGAAAACACGCCTCAGGCAGAGCCGGGATCTTCAGTTAGAAGTGTTGGAGCAGCTGGCTGACAGCTTGGCAGAGGGTAGACTACGCACGGCGAAACACATAGGTATTGATCTTAGTGCATGCAACTGACGTACGCGCAGTATGCATTTCTTGTCAATATGCATAGGTTCGCTACTGTCGTACTTGGGAAACTGCAGTTCGAAGTGTACGAGCTTGTGAACTTTGTGTCGAGATACGCGACTGAATTGCCTAATTTCTATGTCGCTGGTTAGAAAGATTGTATAAGTGATCTAAAGTAAGACCTCATTGTCGCGCTCTTACCTTTTGTGTCACATCACAGAGAAAGAGTCAGCCCGATTGGTAGAGCTTCAAAATGGGGCTGCCGATTATCTCAATATAGAACCTAAAGTGGACGACTATGCAGACAACTTCGCGAATCTAAAACGTCTGCTCGGTATCATGGTGGAGAAAGCGAAGAAACAGGCTGTGCAGATCAGCACGTTGCTTTATATTCTAGAGAAGAAAGACCAAATGAATGTAAGTGCAGTTAACTTACTTGGCAATATCTAAGGAAATGATTCCATCGCGTCTCATTTATTACTGCAATTTCTGGCGTATGTGTGATAGAGTCAATAACTTATTCTACGTGCAAAACGCCTTTGGATAGCTGATTACTACTTACTCTTGAATACATATCACAGGATGTCATGGCGGAAAAAGTGAAGGAGATTGCTCTAGAACAAATGAAAACGGGTAACTTACTACGCAATGCACGACAGAACAAAGGAAAGGCCAAGAAGATATCAAGCAGCCCTTCGAAGAGACAATCCAGTAGCGCGTCCAAGACGTCCAAAATTTCAAAATGATCGCGGTTGATCTTGTCACATCTGAATACTTTCACGAAATAATTATACTGCCGAGACTTTGACTATATATGCAACTCTGTAGATACTACTGAATAATTGCGCAATATATTAAGGTGCTTACAAATACCCTGACATATATAAGAATCTTTGACAGTACATGCATAGACAGGCTATGAATACTCTCCGTGACTACAAATAGATAACCAGGGGCGCTATCTATACGATGCTACATAGGCATCTTAGCATGAATTTCTTATCGCAATGAAATGCCTCGCCGAATATTCTTGTCGCACCGGAGTCTTAATTGCCCATGAAAAATAAATACGAAACTACACAGATAGAACCGCTTTGCAGCCTCGTCAAGAGAAAGAAATAACCCAATTTCGGAACATAGTACATTAAGAATAAGTGCATAAACAGTTTTTTATCCAACTGTATCTATGATTTTTTTTACATACATACACTCCATAACAAATCCATGGGCATGAATGTAGCCCAAGTAAAACTCAAATCATGTAAATATTGAAAACAAGTCCTTCCGGAAACACATGACTTAAGAACTATCCTTCCCTTTATTTACACAAGTCCGCTTACACGCTCGCCGCTGGTTATTCGTTCCCCGGTTTATGCGCAGTACCCTAGACTCTTGAAGTGTGTATTAAAAGTAGTCTGGACCGAAATCATCCCAGAACCATTCCAAGACAGCATTCTCAACTAATAATAAAACTCGAAAGGAACATCCGTATGAACTAAAACACACAAGCACACATTTGTGGCATGTTTCCTTGCACTACTACAGATTTTCGAGTATTTACATAGTGGTTACAAGGGAGTCGGCCTCACCAAGACGTACAATGGAGGAGTCAGACTCTCCAAGAGCACGTACGAAACCAGACAGAGCGTATGTGATGAACTTTCCGTTGTACACACCGTTCTCGTCAACCTGAGATATGTGTGCATTATTAAAAATTTGTCAGAACACAGGGTCGTCAATTTGTATACAATATTTAGTAGAACCCATATCATTATATTTCTTGTGTATTATAAGACCACTGTTGTTCCCCGTGTTGATTTCACAATATCATGATCGAATTCTCAAACCATATATGCCATATATACAAGCTCATACACAACGTATGGCAACAAGCAAGCATACAACTATGCATATTCAAAAATAAATATAAAATCGATTTGTTAGTTCCATGTTCATTATTTTGTCCTTGCAGGTCAGTATCATATATATATTACGTTCTTTCTTCCCTATATTCACTATAGATTTGACAAAGACCCTGCCATAAAGTTAATGCAGTATTTGATAGCAGTGCAATTAAGATTCACGATATTCAACAAACCACGACTACTTCGTATATCCTTCTGGTGGTGCGACTATAAAGTAACTATATATTGACAGAGCGTATTCAAATGCAAGCAAAAATATTGACCAGAATATATAGCTATTACTACTGATGAACAGAATATTCCCGCATGATCTCCACATATAAACAAAAAAAATACATAAATATCGACATATATATATATATATATACGTGTATGTGTCCGTGTATGAACATGCATTCATAAAACAATATATATACAGATGTATTGTACACATTACAACAATATACAAATACTGAAAAGTTCACACGTACATATACATACAATACAATACTATACATATATCCAAACAAATATATATATATACTTTGTCGACGATATACTTCCACACACACATATATATATATATACATTTGTGTGCACGTCTATATGATTATATGTCTATATATAGTGCACGTAATGTTCTTTTTATATGCATATACATATATAAGTGTATGAATATATATACATGTATATACAATATATATGTATGTATTTAGGTGTATGCATTTATGTATATATATGGATATATATATATATATAAGTATATATATATATATGTGTGTGTGAATATATATAAGGATATAGGTAAATTTGTGCATACATACAAAAAAAGGTAGATAGACAGATATGTGTATGTGTAGTATACAGATACATAGATAAATGAATGGATGAATGGATGGATGGATGGATATATATATATATATATATGTATTAATTGTTTTCTATAAAATACGCTTTTATACATACATCAGCGATGTTCACTTGAACGGAGGCGTGGTCCTTCGCACCGATGATTCGGTTTGTGGCGGAGCTGAAACGAAGCAGACGGAAAAAAAATATTGTAAGAAAATTAACATTATAAGGTGCCGTTTACGGATTGCGACTCGGCAATTCAATAATCAAAAAGCGATAGATAGAACTTTCGATTACGTAAATGACACTCTGGATACAGTATCACATAGACCAAAGGTCCACGATAAATACATACCACTTTCTGGGGATGTACATATCCACGATAACACCTTTGTCGTTCTGCATGATGAAGACTGTAAAAGGAAAAAGATATATTTTGAGGATTAGGTCTCCGGCTTACGATTCGACGCCCCATAACATTTTACATAAATATTGTTGATAAATGTTATGGCATGTAGAACTATAACACATAACACCAATATTAACCAGTATTTTCCGATCGTTCAAATGTTGTCTGCTAGCACCAGTATATTGTATCATACCAAGCAACAATTACAGTAGCAGAAGCGTGCATGCGTGCATACAACAAGGGTTGAAAGTCACTTACGATTTACTAGGAGACTTGGAATAGAAACGTAAAAAGGATCATAGCATGTCTTCGCGTGGTATATTAATTTGAATATTCGTTTGGTCTGAGAGCGCCACATGTGCCTCGAAATAGTTTATTCTCTGAAGCCAGTCTCTAGAGTCTGGCACATAGTGTGGAAAACTGGAAAGGGATCAAGGGTTTTTTCATAGCCTCCTAAATTATACATTTTACGATTTCTGAAAACCTGGGTATTTACTGTACTGAAGGTCCAAATTTCAAATTTCAGAACCCAGCCTAAACTTAGTTTGTTTGCTATATTTTGTAAAAAAACAAAACAAAACACAAGTGAGCAAAAAGGGGGGAATTTGGCTTTTTGTTTGGTTTTATTTGTTTATTTGTTTGTTTCTTTTTATAAAAGATAAACCTTCAACCAGAGGCAGGTTTTCCTTTTTTCGGTAAAATTTCTATGGCATTTTTTTGGGGGGAAACTTGATGGTACAGATTGTGAAATACGATGATATGTAAATAGTTGCACTTTCCAAGTTCCAACTCGAAAATAAGATATGTAGCTATTTATTAGTGTATACAGACTTAAAATATGTACCTCAGAAGCGTGTATGTACTAGCCAAACAGAAGCACATACTACGCGAGTATAAATCAATCGCTTTAATTCACCTTTCGCTTAAATAAAAGCGCATACCTATCTCCAATATCATAACATCAAAAACATTCTTACGCACAAAACCGAGGTACACGCATTATCCAATTCATTTGCACTTACAGTATGGCAGTTGAGACAGTAAAGGCTTTGGATACTAATACAGAAGCTATCTTGATCAGATTAGTACGAATGGAAAATGCTGTTTATGGCTCAAGTAACGAAGGCCAGCACAATACAAGCGTTACAGAGACCACGGACATAAAAATAACCGAGTTGAGTAGAGTGCTGCAAAAGGTGGATCCCAAGCGTGATTTACAGGCTATCACTACCTTCTGTAAGTGTATTGTCTATCAATTTACAACACATAACTTTTCTTATTTCATAGCCGTGTTCCTGATGACAGAAACTGTACATTCGTAATTCCTCGTTTGTTTTAGATGCTTCACTCCGTAAGGACGCTAAGCAATATTGCAGCTGACCACAATGACCAAAAATATGACACAGTCCACTTCCTTTCAGAAACAATTTGTACTCATCCGAAATAACATGCTTTCAACCCAGTATCCTCCTATACGTATATTATATATGTTAATACTGATGTAAATATATATATATATATATATATATATATATATATATACTATATATATATATATATATATATATACATATATATATATATATATATATATATATATATATATATATATATATATATATATAGTGTGTGTGTGTGTGTGTGTGT